ACAGAAATGCGCAGGTGATTCCAGTGAGTTGACAAAACCACACTGCTTCCGAACACTAATCCTCACTCCTGCTGCATTCTCAGTGCAAACTAGACCTGCAAACTAAATTGCTGTGAGAGGAGATTTTGACAAAAATAAGGAGCTGTGTGGAGAGGAAACACTATTGAATTCCATCAGTTCTAGTTTTACAGAAGGAAGAAAATGTTGAGAGACATGCCAGCTGAAAGCATGAGTCTCACAGTGATGCATCTTACTTTGGGAGACTATGAATATTGATACACAAAGATAAGAAAAGAAAGTAATCATTACCCTTATCAAAGAATTCGAAAGAAAAAGAAAAAAAAAAAAGGAAGAAAAGGAAAACAAAACAAGTAAGCTTGCTGTTTTATTTTATTCACTTACTAGTGAACAAAGGCCAGCAAATGTTCTTTGCCAGCTTCAGTTAACCTGCTTATTACAGTGATGGCTGTTGCTTTGCACCCTTAAAATTGTTCCACACATGCGGTCCATGGCAGTTTACTCTGTGAAACCCTCTGCAAGCAAGCAAGGTGACTACAGAAAAGCAACCCAGAGAATCCTAAGTATATTCTTAAGACAGTGGGAAAAGCAGAGCCAGCTTTTCTTCTTGTCTTTTGCAGCAATGAGCTAGCAATCTCATTTTACCTTTTTTTTTCTTTTTTCTCTGCACAGAAATGGTTACCATCACACCTGAAAACACTGTGCAACTTTACAATGTTGTGGCCACACAGGAGTTTACAATCAGTCCAGCAGGTTTCCACAACAATTCAAGTGTGCATCAAATGAATGAATATGAATGTATTAATCCAGATGCATGGAAATGGCTACAGACTTATCAGCCTGGATTCCTTTGGATTATATTTATTCTGGGAACAATAGAAAATGCCTTTGTCCTTATCGTCCTGTGCTTCCACAAGAGTCGCTGCTCTGTGGCTGAAATTTACCTAGCAAATATGGCATTTGCTGATCTAATGTTTGTCTGTTCTTTACCTTTCTGGGCCATTAATATTTCTAATAATTTTCAGTGGACTTTTGGCCTGTTCCTCTGTAAAGCTGTCAACACAATCAGCTACATGAACTCTTACTCTAGCATTTATTTTCTGACATTAGTGAGCATCGATCGCTATCTGGCCTTGGTAAAAACCATGTCTCTGGGACGGATGCGGCGAACAGCCTGTGCCAAGTGGAACAGCTTTATAATCTGGGTGTGTGCACTGCTCATATGCTCACCTACAATGGTGTTCCGAAACTTACAGTATTTCAAAGAGTACAACATCACAGCCTGCTTTCTTGATTATCCAAACCCCTACTGGCACCCTGCAAACAATTGCCTGCTGAATACTGTGGGCTTCATGATCCCACTCTGTGTAATTACCTATTGCACCGCTCAGATCACCAAGGCCTTACAGAGTAATAAGTTACAAAAACTCAAGTTAATCCAGACAGAGAGGAAAGCCACCTTGCTGGTCCTTGCTGTGCTCTTGCTGTTTGTCATTTGCTGGCTTCCATTCCAAATCAGCACCTTCATCGACACAGTCTGCCAACTAGCAGGGAATTTGAAATGCCTTGAAGAAATCAATGATATTGTGACCCAGATGGCAATGTACTGCGCCTATAGCAACAGTTGCTTGAACCCAGTCCTGTACGTTATTGTTGGGAAACACTTCCAGAAGAAGGCAGTGGAATTCTACAAGGACTTGATCCCACAAAGGTGCAGAAAATCACAGTCTGTGAAGACAGAAAACTCCCTGGACACTTTACGAACTTCCATTTCAAGTGAATATCTAAGGAAAAAATCTGTTTTGCCATTATCACAATAGCACAGTTCATAATGGGAAAAAAAAACAACACTTTTGATCTATCATTCTCCACTAATATGCATCTGCTATGAGTCAGCAGAATGAACACGTAGCAACATTCATCATTTGAGGGAAAGCAATGGTTTGATCTTAAAATCAAACCCAATACAGTGAATTGCTTCTAATATTACTGGTCATTTTTCTAACTGAATCATTCTTTGTAGCATATTTACATTTTCATGGCTGAATTATAGTGTTTTGCATGTATCATTTGAAATGATTGTATTTCTGTGGAATATAAGTGTCAGAATGCACATAGAGTTCTCTGAATAGAGTCCCAGTCTGGAAGCTATTGTAAGGGCCATGCAACTACTTATGGTACCTGTACCCTTGGATAGAGTACATTTTTTGATAGGATGGAGTTGTATTTATGTAAGTTTAAATGAATCCATCAAGACTATTATTGAAATGGATTTTCAAACATGGTCATCTTCTGGGCTTTTTTCTGCTTTGAAGTAATTTTATTTACTTGATTTACAAGCTGGGCCTTCTTGCAAATGCTGTGACTGCTGAGGGCTGATTTACTTCTGCCTGTATGTATGCATAGTTCAGAAAAGGCAGTGCAGTAAAGAAAGAAAGGCTGCAGCCAACCTCATGAAGGCAGTGGAGTTTTCTTTGTAGCAGGAGAATCTTTACTCCTGCAATGAGGTAAAGCATTCACTATAGAGAGCTCTTTAGAGTTAATGTTATTCACATTTATACCTATCCTACAGATCAGAAACATGTTTTTGAATATTCACAAAGCATAATTAATATTTGCAATATTATTTAATGGAAACAAATGCTCAGTGCAATGGGCACAATCTCACAAGAAGAAAAATATAGAGAAGAGCATCACCTCACTGACTTAGAAAGATGACTGAAGCTAATAGGGGTCTTGAATGCTAGGAATACTCCAAATATAGCATTTTCCAGCTCTAATACTACCTAAATTTTATTTACGAAGTTAGTCTAACTGATTAAAATAACAAAATAAAATATAACATGAGTTATAACAAAATAACAATTCATAAATTAGACAATTTAAAAATGAAAGAATTTTACACAGAAGAAGCTCAGTGTCCTTAATAGCCAGTAAGAACTTTTATTTCTAAGAACCTAGATCTAAAACCGAATTGGTGACGATCTAAAAGCTTCTGAAATCAACAGAGCCTTCCTGTTCCTTTCAAAGCACTTGAAGTTGGAATTTTAATTTAAGTGCTTAAAACTCTGAAGAAATAGAGTTTTGAGACATCAGTAAACTCGAAATGCTAATGTGTGACCTTTATTCATAAGAACTAGAATGGAGTAATAAAGTTCCATTCCAGCTAGGAAATCTGTATTTAATCTTCAAGTAACTGAACTAAAGAAACACTCTTAAAGTCTGTGAATGTGCTATATAAACTACAGGATTTAGATGGCTGCAGATAATTTATAAACAATTTCTATAGGTTTCATTTAAACACACGTTATAATTCTATGTTATAAATATTTCTACTGTTTTTCTATATATTGTCCCAGATGCCTGTGATGAAACACTGCAAGTCTTACTGTTATCTCCAATGTTACCAGTATCGTCTTGTTCAGGAGCATGCTGTTCACACAACCTTTAAGTGAAACCATACAGAGGTTATGGGGACAATGGAAGAGAATTTTGAGTATTTGGTACTGACAAGTGAAATATGAAAATATTATGACATGTAAAGAATATGACATTAATTTAATGTAAATAAATAGATGTGTTATTTTGCTATACAGTAAATAGATACAACAGAAAATAAACTACCTTAAGATATGAAATGTGATGGTGTTTTGTTCTCTAGCTTGAGTTCACTTACTTAGGAGGGACTTGTCCGAAGTGCAACTCTTACGGATATTTTCCTTCTTTCACTTCCTGTTGTACCAAGAGAAAGCAAGTTGAAAGAATAGAATTTTAGGTACTTTAAAATGTTTGAGTCAGTTTTCTTTTGGGTCAGCCCATTTCTGAATGGTGCTGAACACCCTCAATTGCTTTTGAAGTTAAAAGATTAATTCAGATGGATAAAGATACTGAAATCCCTTCAGTAGCTCTTCTTTGCACCTTAGTAGCTCATTTTCTTGTGAAGCAGCAGATGCTCTTTTTTTTTCTGAGGACTTGGGGTACCCAAGAACCTGTAGGTGCCCTCTATAGCTGCCTGCAGATGGGCTGCCTGCCTAAAGCCTTTACTCATCTATGAAAGCACAGATACCAACAGTATCAACAGATACAGATGCACAGATATCAACAGGCAAAGTCTTTACATCAAGCTCTGCAGACTGTAGAATGCAATAGGCTGACTTCCAAGTCACTTACTTTCTAGAGCTATCACATACTGTCTAGTACTGGCATATACCACTTATATAGGTAACAAAGTAAAACCAGAGGAACAGCAACTGTATGAAAACTCAGCTGACATTTTAACAGAGTAGTTCAGTTGGAAGGGACCTTCAAAAACCACAAATTTCAACTACCTGACAACTTCAGGGGTAACCTCAACTTAAAACATTGTCTGAATGCCTCTGGACAACTGACAGGCATGGGGCGCTCCCCAGGAAGTGTGTTTGACCACGTTCACAGTACAGAAATTTTTCCTAATGTCCAATGTGATCCTAGCAGCTCTGCCACTCCCACCCTTGCTATCAGTTCCAGGAGCAGAGCCAGGCATCTCCTGCTTCCCATCCTCAGGGAGCAAGGAGGTAGCCGCCCAGCTTCCTCTTCTCCAGCTGGACAGCCCAGTGCCCTCAGCCTCTCCTGACAGGGCATGCCTTTCACTGTCACAGCTTTTCTGCCCTCCACTGGAATATTCCAAGCACTTTAACAACATTTTTTAGTGTGTGGAGCCTAGGTCTGCAACGCCAGGCTACACTAAATCTAAATATAGCTGACAACCACCTCTTCTGACCACTTTGCTGTGCATAACGCGTCCCACAATGTAGTTTGGCCTCTTGCCTGCAAGGGCACAATGCTGGTCTATGCTGAGCTGCTGTCAGAGCACCCTAGGTCCTTCTTGCTGAGCTGCTCTCTGGCCACTCCTCTCCCAGCCGGTGTCTGGCATTGCTCTGTGTAGATACGGGCAGGAATAGTTATGAACTTTTTACTGCCTGTTTTTTCAAGTGGATTATTGACTCCACCTGGAAAACAATTTAACAGTCTTACAAAGAGTTAGGTCCAAGTGGCTGATGCTTGTTGTGGATAGGAGGATGTTGCTGTTCACACAGGCACTTTATGGAGAAGTCAGGAACTCAGACTAAGATTCTAAGATGTCTAAACACCTGTTCTAAGATGATTTAGCACCTGTATTAGATTTTATTCATTTCACAATTTCCAGGAAATGCATAGAATTGAATTTTGATTCTTTATTGCTGAAAACAAGTTTTAAACATGAAAACAAAACAAAACAAAACAAAAACAAAATCAGAAGCTAGATTAACAAAGAGGAGTTGGGCTTGAAAACTGATGCTTTGATCTATTTTGAAATGATGATTTTAGTAAGTCTGCATTTTTTAATCATTTACGTTTTAGATGTAGCTACCATCTGCTATTTGATGTCTGTGAGAAAACACAGATGTTGGTCACTCTTAGAAAATTTGTGTCCAAGCAAGGCTGAATTCCAAAGTTCTTGTTATTGCTCAAATGTTCTTTATGAAAAAATAACTTCAACACAAATCCACTAGCGTAAGCAAAGAGGAAGTTATGGAAAGTTTATGACGAAGATCTACTTTTCCATTTAACTTACCTTAGTGACTCAGTGTGGGATGAGATGTTTAAATATTGACCTCCTGTAGGTTATTAGGATTTATGTTGTGTGTTCAAAAAAATTATTTACCAAAATAAAAATTTTGATTGAGATGTAAAAAAAAAAAAATTGACAGAAGAGAAGTAGATGGCGTCATTTGAGATATTTTTAATTCTGATTCATTTGGTTAGTAAAATAAACAAATGTTGAAACAAGTTACTGTTTAAATGGAAGTATTTGAGTGCTTTAAGTCTTCCAATCAAATACTGGATTTTTTTAGAATTTTTTTCAGTGTGATTGCATGCAAACAGAACAATGTTTCAAGTTTCTGTAAATTCCACCACAATATAGCATATTTTTAATCAGTAAAATGAAAGTTAGAATAAAACTGCTTGTCATGATGACAAGTCTGTCAAGTGATATCAGTGTACAGCCTTGCATGATCTTTTTATATTTTAACTAATTAATCAAAGGAGAGCACAGTGGAGTAAGAATTTGGAGAGACGGTGAATTTGTTGGGCAGACAGCCAACAAGACTAATGTTTTCAAACAGAATTGTATCATAGAATGGTTGGGTTGGAAGGGATCTTAAAGTTCATCCAGTTCCCACCCCTGCTGTGGGCTGGCTGTCTCCCACCAGCTCAGACTGCTTAAGGCACCATCTAACCTGGCCTTGAACACTTCCAGGGGTGGGGCACCCACAGCTTTCTGGGCAGCCTGTACCACTGCTTCACCACCCTTTGAGTAAAAAATTTCCCCCTAACATCTAATATAAATCACCCTTCTTTCAGTCTATAAGTGAATAGCGTTCCAGTTCCTTTGTTATTTTTTCACTGCTCTTTAAGAAGTTGAAGATACCTATTGTTTACACATATGTAATTGAGAGATTTGTATTTAGAAATTTGATATCTATTCTCAGATGAGAGGGTAATTAAAGTGAAAAAATTAAGTTTGTAGACAATTAGTCTCAGTCAACGAAGTCTCATGTAATGAAACAAAATGCAGATGGTATTTTGCATGCCTGATAAATTACAGACACGATCACACAATCCTGAGAAGTAACGTTCACACGTTCACAAAGTAATGCACTAGATATCTATAGTGGTGTACAAATGACATCAGTTTTCAAAAATGGTGGAAAGGTTTAGTGATTCCAGGTTTCAGCTACCCTTCCCAAACACCTCTTCTGCTCTAATCCCAACTCCTTGGCATGGCCTACAATGTATGCAGTATCGCCTTCCCTACATCAGCTGGACAGGAAAGAGTTCTCAAAGCAAAAACCTCATAGAAAGTTTGGCTTTGATTGTATTGGCGCTGAGAGAGTGGTTTGGAGCAGTTGATAAAATTGCCATTGTTGCAAACATTGTTATTCATACAAAAGAACTATTAATTGCCATTGACCTGTATTTGAGACCTTTATTTATGTTCACGTAGGAGCAAAAGTCAAGGCAAATAGCTTGACTTTTTCAAGAATTTCACAACGAGAATGAAATGTCTCACTTGCCTTGAAAATCACCACAGCTGACGTTTGGAAAGCTTAAAAAAAAAAAATGTAATGGCTTTCTTCCAAATGGTAACATCATACATAATGCACATGGCTAACAAAAGACTCAGACAGTGCTCAGTCTCACTCACCGATGAGTCTGAATTCTCTCCCTAATCACTGTTGTACTGCTGTTTGTCAGTTCTTCCTGGATTTGAAACTTTTTTAACCTAAACTGCCACGAAGAAAGAGAATAAGGTAGGTCTATCTGTTTTTAATGTCTTAGGAATATTAAAAGTATTTCAGATGCTTTTATATAAACAAGTATCTTGTGCTCTCAGTTCCAATGTGTGCACACATAGTAAGATGTTCTCTTTCACTGCTAACTCTGAAAGTCAGAATTAACTCTTCTAATCTGTAAAAATACAGTTATTCATTTTATGAATTTTCTGTATAGCTGAATAGACTTATCTGATTGCAGAATTTTCTCTTTAAAAATAATATTTTTTTTAATTGTTCCCAAAACTCAAGCTGTATTTATTTAGTGTTTCAGAAGATCCAGAAGATTTATTTAGTGTTTCCAGAAATCTGATCTTCTGTATATTGGCTACAGAGTCAATGAACACAGAAAATAATCAGAAATTAGTTGAATGCAGAGAAAAAAAAAAAGGCATTTTCGTGAAAGCTGGAATATTTGGAACGTATTAAGGACATAACTGAAAATCATTATTTTGGCTAATTGTCCATTAGCACTAAATACAGTATTTACAGAAGAAAATTACCTTTGAAAGAGAAATAAATTAAGCAACTGCAAATGAATTGCATTTTCTGTCAACAAGGAATCTGGAGTTCTAAGTTCATACAAGTCAGTGCTGAAGAAATTTGAAAAAAGATGTTTTTTACACCACTGATAAGAGATAACATTTAGAACTTTATTCCTCCATTTTGCAGTTCTTTTCTCTTACTTCAAAAATGTGTCCTGTTAATTACAGAATCCTAAAAAAATGACTGAAAGTCCTCTACTGAGCATTCCCTTCTCAAACCAGAGTGAAAACAAGAGCAACTCAACTGTTTGCCCAGACTTGGATAACTGGTGGGAAATCGTGTACTACTTAGTACCCAAGTGTATCGACACCATCTGTGTTATTGGAATGCTTGGAAATTTATTTGTTCTCTTCGTTTACTCAGTGTACAAGGGCCCTCTGAAGATATCTGAAATCTACCTTGTGAACCTAGCTGTTGCTGATCTTATTTTCCTCATATGTCTCCCTTTCTGGGCAGAGAATGTACGGAATAAGTATAATTGGCCATTTGGAAATTTTCTTTGTCGTAGTGCCAGTGCATCCATCCACCTAAACATGTACACTAGCATCTACTTGCTAGTAGCAGTCAGCTTGGATCGCTATTTGACTTTTGTTCATACCTTGACACACAGAAGAATACGTAGCAAAACTATAGCCAAAGGGATCTGTTTGCTCACCTGGACCTTTGGGATCCTTCTCAGTATCCCAACCTTTACGTTTCGGACTGTGAAACACTTTCCTGAGTGGAATATCTCTGCATGTGTTTTAGACTTCCCCACCCCATCCTGGCAAAAAGCTGATCGTTTGGTATTCAGCATAGTGGGGTTTGCATTGCCATCAACAGCAATTGTCTTCCTCAATTTCTGTACCATTCGCTCCCTACAAGAACACAAAAGAGAACTAAAAGCATTCAGGACAAAGAGTTGCCAGGACCACAGAGACACAAAGGCCACAAAGTTGATCTTCTTAGTGGTACTGATGTTTCTTTTGTGCTGGACTCCTTACCATCTTGTTATATTCTTTGATATATTATTCCAGATGGAAGTGATACAAGGCTGTTTCTGGGAGGATTTTCTCAACTTTGGTGAGCAGTTTAGTTCTACTTTGGCTCTCACAAATAGCTGTATTAACCCAATAGTTTATGTATTTGCTGGGAAATATTTCAGGCAAAAAGCTTTAAAAGTTTTTTCACAGTTTTTCTGCTGTGGGTATTTTTTGAACCAGGTATCATTCCAAGAAAAGTCTTCATATTTCAAGTTGTTTCCAGTCAAGACTAGTTCAACTTCATGATTCTTGGTTCCATCTTAATTTTGATATTACAATTTATTTTTAATTGCATTAAAAATGAACAGGAATCACACTGTTCTAGCATTCTCAGACTAAGTTAATTATTTATTAAGTTACATCACTTCGCTGCTTATTTGTCCCTGGGTTTGTTTTTCCTTTTCTGTGTTACCATCCAAACATATAACATGCAACACCAGAATTTTATACCAAATGATCTAACTTGTCTCATCAGTGCTTGGAAAGAAAAGTTATTTGACAAAGCATCAGAAGTCTGGTTTCTCTAAAGTATGGTATAAACTGATTGAAAATTTATTATACTGTATCTGTGGTAACAAATATAATATCACCAGGAATACTATGCAAAGAATTATAACATATTACAGAGCAATTATGAGCTTAACTTTCAGCTCATAGCTGCATTTTAGGAATGGCAAAACAGATTCAGTATTTTAAATGGGTTGTATTTTCAGTGTAGCACATAGAAAATTTGAAGAACTGTTCATTTGAAATGTATTTGTTGCATAAATATTGTATGTAAAATGTACCACAAAGGAAATGTACATGAATTGTAATAAAAATCCAGTATCATCTTGAAAATTTGACTTTTTTTTTATTCAGTAAAATGTTATGCAACCACTCTTCAAGTAGGCAAGGATTCTTTTTCTTTTCCATATATGAAATCAGTGATGACCACTGACACTATGATTTTGAAATATTTTTCCATCTAAGGCAAATCCTTAAGTTCATACTTATATTTTTATGAATCAAAAACAATAACTGTAATATCCCACTTCACCATAATCTTGTTCATTTTTTGCATTGTTTTATCTCTTGTCTCTTTCCTTATTCCTTTGGACAGGAGGAAATGTATATTTCCGCTATTAAAAATCCTTTCTACTACTATAATGTTAACTCTATTTGTAGCAGTAGTAACGATATAACAATAACATACACAGCAGGAAACAGGGAAGGAAATTTTTCCATCACAGGCACAACAGTAGAACAAGTTGATGCAACAGAGATATGTGTTCCCATAATTGTAAAAATATTTGCATGTGCAGACATTGGAAGAGAAAGAAAGGGGATGTTTCAGTAGGAAAGTTAGTTCAGCTAGAAGGACATCGAGTGCAGAAAGGGGCACATAAGCACTATCTCTAATATTTTACTTAGTTTAGTGTAAGTTCTGTTTAGCCTCTTACTTGCTGTAATGGCGTTTCTGCTTTGAATATGGCATTAATCTCTTATAGAAATCTACCCATTCAACATTCCAAAAAGATTAGTGTATATTTTTAATGATTTCTTCAAACTTTTTGAGTTTGAATGTTGAAATCTTTTTTGGTGAGTTAAAAGTTTGTCTTCCTGCAATGATGCGTTAAGAGCCAAGGGTGGATTAGGCAAATTATTCATAACTCCGGTCACTTTTCTCCTTCTCTGACAGGCTTTTTTTCAAACAAATTTCAGTTAGATATTAGTAATAACTACAGTATGTGAAGTCTGGTGAGTCACAGGGTCATAGAATGGCCTGGGTTGAAAAGAACCACAATGATCATCTAGTTTCAATTCCCCTGCTATGCTCAGGGTTGCTAACCACCAGACCAGGCTGCCCAGAGCCACATCCAGCCTGGCTTTGAATGCCTCCAGGGACGAGGCATCCACAACCTCCTTTGGCAACCTGTTCCAGTGTGACACCACCCTCTGTGTGAAAAAATTCCTCCTAATATCTAACCTAAACCTCCCCTGTCTCAGGAAACAGCCGTTTCCCCCTCCTGTCTATATGCTCCTTTCGAGTACTGGAAAGCCACTACGAGCCTTCTCTTCTCCAAGCTAGACAAACCCAGTTCCCTCCACCTTTCCTCACAGGAGAGGTGCTCCAGCCCTCTGATCATCTTAGTAGCCCTCCTCTGGACCTGCTCCAAGAGCTCCACATCCCTCCTGTATTGGGGGCCCCAGGCCTGGACGCAGTGCTGCAGATGGGGCCTCATAAGAGCTGAGTAGAGGGAACAATCACCTCCCTCTCCCTGCTGGCCACCCCTTTTTTAATGCAGCTCAGAACAACACAGTTGGCCTTGCACATGGCTGGCTCGTGTCCAGCTTCTCGCTTGCCAGGACCCCCAAATCCTTCTACACATGGCTGCTCTCAAGGAGATTTTCCCCCTGGTTTGTATAGATACCTGGGATTGCCCCAAACCAAGTGCAGCACTCTGTACTTTGCTTTAGTGAGCCTTATTAGGTTTTCATGGCCCAGCCTGCCCTGGTCTCTCTAAATGGCTTCCCTTCTTTCCAATATATCGACTGCGTCACTCTGCTTAATGTCATCTGAACTTAACTCCATATAATCATAGATCACAGAATGGCTTGGGTTGGAAGGAACCATCCAGTTCCAACCTCCGTGGGCAGGGCTGCCACCCACTAGATCAGACTGCCCAGGGCTCCATCTAAATTTCTTCCTAACATCTAACTTAAATCTCCCCTCTTTTATCTTAAAGCCATTTGCCCTTATCCTAACACTAACAGACCATGTAAAAAGTTGCTCCTCTTCCTGCTTAAATGCTTCCCTTCCCCTGTGCTGGAAAGCCACAATGAGGTCTCCCCAAAGCCCTTACTTTTCCAAGCTAAACAAGCCCTACTCACTCAGCCTTTCTTTATAGCAGAAGTGTTCCAGCCCTCTGATCCTCTTCATAGCCTTTTTTTGAACCCACTCCAACAGCTCTGCATCCTTCCTGTACTGGGGGCCCCAGGGCTGGACACAGTACTCCACATGGGGCCTCACAAGGGCAGAGCAGAGGAGGACAAGTCCCACCCTCACCCTCCTGCCACCCCTCTTTTGATGGAGATGAAGTACTAACCTAGCTTGACCCTGCATAGCTTCCAAGATGAGATGACATTAGGGTGGCATGGTCAGTCTATTTTAAGATATTTCACACCATTTATTTCAGAGATCTTTATCTGAAGCCTCAAGTTCAAATGAACTCCCAAACAGAGATTCAGTTGTTTTTTTTTTTAAAGACGAAATAACAAAAAAAAGTATATAAACAGAAGGCCATTTTCCCAACATGAATGTGAAACCTTAAAAGGAAAAATATCATCTCTAACTCTTGTCCATGTTAAGTATTGAACAAAAATAAACGAAACAACACAGTACTGAAGAAGCATTTCATTTAGGGCATGAGCAAAAAATCAGACTGAAATTCTTAATCAGTGGAAAGATTCCAGTCTATTCCAAGGACTTTTGTGAAAGTGTTGCTTCCTTTTACATGCGCACAACCATTAGAAAGTGTCTGAATATTAAACACTGATGTAACAAATACTTAACAGGGTCTCACAAATCGATGGATTTACTTTACAACAAGAGAGTAACAAAAACATTTTTCATGTGTGAGCTACACTTAATATAGCAAAATATGACCAGTGATCACAATTTACTGCCCAGCAAATACAAAATTCTATATTCAATCAGAAATAATCCAATACACAGAAACAGGCTGCAGACTGGGAAACTAACAGCAGTTGAGCTGAAAAGAATTGCCAGATTGGAAGTTTAACATAATCCAGGAGAGCCACGTTGTTTCTGTATTGGGGCTATACATGAGATCAATGGACTTAAACTGTAGCAAAGGAAGATGAGTTAATAAAACACCTTCTCCTGGTGATGAGTCACCTTGGAGATAAGGTAGGACCTCAACAGTGAAACCCTCTGAGACCATCTTAGAAAGGCATTTTAGATATTGTATCAGTCTATTTAGTTCTGTCCCAGCTCATGAGGGATTTTTAGTGACACAGATCTTCATGTCAACTCAAATGTGTTTGCATTCTCAGGATTCTTCACATATCACCTTCCATTCATTACTGAAATATCAGACCTTACGGTCAGTCAATCACTACTGCGAGACTCGACTGCCATGTGTTATCTTCAAAGCACCTTTTTTATCTCATTTCATGTTACTCCTCACACTCTCAATAAACACTGTCATGCATTTATCATTAAAACAATATCCGTCTTCTGTAGGCAAGATCTGAGCCTTCTGTGAGCTTGCAATCTTTAACTACTTCTCATCCACCTACATCAAGTTATGTTTTAATCGTAATTCCTCTAGCGCAAAAACTATCTTCTATTATCTGTTCAGACCTTGTTTATTCTCACTTTAAAAGATGGGTCTGCTAGCACTGGAATAATAAAGTGGCATTTAGAACTTACTGAAACCCACATTAAGGAATACTATAATCTCGGCTTGCATTTGCAGTATCAAAATGTTTTGACAAGTTATTATTTCATCTTTAAGAACTTAAACTGTAAACATAGACCTACAGCAAAACCATCTGATCCATTGCTAAAACTGAAGGTAGAAGATTGCTAGAAATAAAGGCAAAAGCATTTTCAAAGATTTGTATCCACAAAGGCTTCTAGTATGTCAAGAGGCATTTTCCTGGGAAGAGAGCATTTGTCATCCCTCTCAAAACCATTCCAAATCAAGTCAAAATTGTGAGAATTTAGTTGGAAAAAAACTGTTTGCAATACAGTCATGCTGAAGGTCCCAGCCGTCTCATGATCTCATCCTCATGGACATGTTCAGACCACACTTGCCTCTGACAGTGTTGTACAAGTGAACTGGTCAAAGTGGATCCACTTTCCCTGTCTGTGTGTGACTTTGGGCTGCAGACAGTAGGTGTCAAGGATGCTGCTTGCTTACAGTCCTAGGGTGGTTTTCTTTGCCCTCCCAGCAACAAGACCAAGAGACAAAATCTGTATCAGCCAGCAGAACAAGAGCCAGGAAATATCTAACCTAAGACTGTCCCTGGAATCTCAGTGTGGCTTCTTTCAGGGTACGAGTTATAGTAGTCCTATGTGATTAAGCTTTGACTTTCCAACATTGCTACTTAGCCTCTTCTGATTTAGCTCTGTGTCACTATGCCTTCTGTGGGAGAGAAAAAAAACTAAAATTAAACAGTACCCTCAAAAAATTGAACTGTCATGTCTTGTTTACTAAATACCACCTAGGGGATTGATAACACATATCTTGCCATGAATTTTACAGAAATCTTTGAAGAAACATATAATTAAATTGAATTGTCACAGTGAGATTGTAGAGAGAAAAATGGGTCTAATGATCAGAACTGAAAACATTAGAAGAAATTCTAAACTAGTAAGAATTAGGAAGAATCAGTGTCAATGTAGGATAGAACATCCTTCTTTGTAGCACAGTAAGATGCCTGACAAACAGTAGAAACCGGTCTTGGTAACTGGCAAAGAGGAGTCAAAACAATCTCATCATAGAAGAGTAAGATAGGGCTTTGGATCCACGAGGCGGGCAGAAGAATTAGAAGTTACAGAAATATCCTACTTTATCAATTCAGGGCACATACAGAAAAGTTGCAAACACAGGCACCTAGGCTGAACTACACAACTACAGTTCATTTTGTTCTAAGGGAATTTGAAGCTTGAAGGCAAAAGAGGATCACCTACTGTGTTCCTCAGATGATCCTAGTCATTCTGGCGTTTCAGCTGGTTTGTTCTTCAAATTTTCAATAGTTACTGCTGATCCTGTTATTTCTCACATGCTTAAGTGTCAAATCAGGAGTGTTTTTCACAGCCTACTAGA